CCTCTCTGTGTCCCATTGTCTCTGCAGGGCCCAGCAAACGCCTGTTTACCAAACATTTGCTTTTCCCTCTCCATATGAATTGCCTTCCTCCCCTTTGAAGCCCCAAACCACTACTCCCAACACCCTCTTTGTCTTTAGCTGAAGGTGGTACGTAAGGTGAGGGCTTCAACCATATTGGCAAATTCCTTAGTTTTCCTGGGTCTCTCCCATATATATGTTATTAAACTTTGTTGATTTTTTTCCTGTTTATCTGTCTCATGTCATTTAATTCTTAGACCAGCCAGAAGAACCTAGAAGGGTAGAAGAAAATTTCTTCCTCTCCAACAGAGGGAATTAGGTCATGAGGGAGAGGCTCTCGTGAATGGCATTGGTGCCCTTATAAAAGGGACCCCAGAGAGCTCTCTCACCCTCTTTCTGCCAGGCGAGGATATCACAAGAAGACAGCAGTCTGCAAACCAGAAGCAGTCTCTCACTAGAACCCCACCACACTGGCACCCTGATCTCAGACTACTAGCCTCCAGAGCTGTGAGAAATAAATGTTTGTTGTTTCAACATCCAGTTGATAGTAACTTGCTATAGAATCCCGAACTAAGTCATAGACACTCAATGAAGATCGGTTGATTGAAAGAGTGAATTCATAATAGAAAAAAAAAACCTTTAGTAGACACTAACCATAATATAGCTATACGTTTTTCTTAGGGAGGCTTATACGTTTTTCTTAGGGAGGCTTATACAGGGCTTTAGTACGTTATCCTTTAGCCTACGCAGAAATCCTAAGAGACAGGTGGATCAAGTTGGCAAAAACCTAAAAAGAATCCTCTGATGAAAGACATAATACACCCTATTTATGTTAATACGAATTCCTTCCATCTTAGAATAAACACTGCTGACTCTCAACAATATAATCCCTATCTAGCAAGTGATAGAAATTCTAGAAAGTGAGATGTAAAGGTTTTGCTTTATCTTCCAAATAGCATTGAAAATATAACTCAAGTATAAGCCCAAGAAACATGAGAAAGGGTTATGTTCTAATCCACATAGGCTGTTGCTGACCTTGAATTTTAGTAACTGACTGAATTCCTAACATCAAACCCTCTGTAGCAGGAGGGATAAGGATACCATGGGCTTTCTGACCAAGCTGCTTCTTGAACAGAGATTCAGGGTATTTGTAAGAAGGTTACATATGTAGAGTACGAATCAGTATGCATGTGGCAAAGTGAGAAATAAGAGCGATTAGCCTGTTGGTCATAGTTCCAGAAAGGTCAGTGACCATAGCAAGTCAGGACCTCAATGACGGTGAATAAAACACCCCAGCAGGAGTGGAAAAGTGCTAGAAGAGAAAGTTACAAAAGATTCATTGTTGTTAAAGCAACAGCAGATACTCTTTCTTAAAGGCTAGTCCACATTTCTTAAGATGGCATGTATAAACCTGAAAAGAAAGCACTAGAAAAAAAGTGAACAATTTTTTTACTATTTTTTACGGTGAGGAATGTATCTTAGCGAGATACCAACATCAGAATCAACAGAGGAAAATAATGACAATTTAATTATGGAAAAAATTCATTAAAAATTATAACACAGGTAACATACTGGAAAAAAACATTTGTCTAATGTATGACCAAGCATGAATTTCTTTGGTATATAAAACGCTTAATTAATCGATAGTTAAAGAGAACAGCCCACTGGAAAAACGGCCCAAAGACAAAAAAAGTAATTAAACATAATCATTTTGAATAAGCAAGCACAATTCACTGGTGTATAAACAAAATATAATTTTTTTTCCAAAAGCTGCTGTGAACTGTACTGTCTTTTTTTAATTGAAGTATAGTTGATTTACAATATTGTGTTATTAGTTTCAGGTATACAGCAAAGTGATTCAGTTCTCTCTCTATATATATATATATATTTTTTTTCAGATTATTTTCCTGAACTGTATGGTCTTGAGTCACCTCCTCTTTCCCTTGTTCCCCACCCATACTTGTTAATAGTCAGGATAACTTAGCAATATCTCAACCTCACTCCACAAGTTTTCAGTCATTCAAACAATCTCATTCCAGTTCTTTTATTTTAGTCATGTTCATTCATAAAATTTCAGTCTCCTATGCAATGGAAATCTTAATTTGCAAAACGTCAATACCATATTCAAACCACCTCTCCTCGTCCAGCACAGGCTGAGTGGTGGCTGGGAATGGAGAGAGGCGAGCTGCCCTCTCACACACCCCTGCTCCATGACTTCTGCTCCATGACTGCTGAGGAGGCAGAAGGAATGCTTCTGCTTGGGCCAAGGCTGCCCCTCTTTCTCTTGGTTGTTGCCACCTCCTTCTCTAACACTGATTGGCCTTGGTTTTCACAGATGGCGAAGATGACCAGAGCCAGCTCTCCAGGGGACGGACCATTTGATTTTCCTATGGTGACCCCTGTCCGGGGCTCCGGCTACAAAGCCGCTGTTCTGGGAGGCCTAGGTAAGGCCTGGCCCCTTCCTCACCCCCTACACCCTCATGTCAGCCTCAGGGATGGGAAGTCCACCTCTGCACCCTTCCTCAGGAGGCTTCCTACCTCTGTACCCTGATCCGAGGGAACTTGCAGTGAAACGGGAAGTTGGGAAAATCCTATCCACTATGGCGAAGATCTTTTAAATGATTTCTATTTTATTTTTATTGAAACTTAGGTCTTAAAAGCTTAAAATTAAGAACAGAATACATAAACTACTCATTAGCAGCCAGGAGGTGGTGGAGATATGTTCCCCGCCCTCGCAGGGAAGGCTCCCTCTGTGCGTCCTTCCAGTCACAGCAGCAGGGCTACTACCTATCCCAAAGGTAGAAAAACCTTACAGTGAAACTGCTCTTCTAGTCGACTGGTCAGTAGCCTTAAAAGTAATTTTCTGATTGTAACCTTCTTCCTTTCCTTGCCTCAATTAAAAATATTTTCTAGGGGCTTCCCTGGTGTCGCAGTGGTTGAGAGTCCGCCTGCCAATGCAGGGGACGCCCGTTCGTGCCCCAGTCCGGGAAGATCCCACATGCCGCAGAGCGGCTGGGCCCGTGAGCCATGGCCGCTGAGCCTGCGCGTCTGGAGCCTGTGCTCCGCAACGGGAGAGGCCACAACAGTGAGAGGCCTGCATACCGCAAAAAATATATATATATATGTATATATTTTGTAGTAAGAAACTCACTACACTCTCAAAGCCTCAAGCTTTCAGTTTGCATTTAAAGAAGAATATACCTGTACATTGGCATCAACCTCAGTCCCCAAAGGCATTTATGTGACAAATCTCATCTCTGTTTTTAAAATATATTAACTTAGTTTTTATTCTGTGTCCCCATGAAGCTAACCTGGCAGTAAATTCAGGCCTGGGCCTTCTCTTTACTTCTGTTCTGCTTTTAGGTCACAGGAATCTTTTTGGTGCTATGGCTCGAATCACAGGGACTACGACTTCTTCCATCAAGACCTGGCAACAGCTACGTCCCTGCGCCCTTAACATCTCCTCAGTCCATGGCCCTGCTCCTCCAAGACCACAGCTCTCTCCTTTCCTCAAGCCAAGGGGAAGAGTCTCAGTCTCTCTTTCACCCTGGCCTTACCCCTTTCCCTCAAGCCCTAATCTCCTCAGTTGATAAAAGTGTCTAGGAAAACAAATCCAAGAAGTCTCCAAGCTTCCACAGAGCTCGGCTGTCCACCTTTCTCCATGCCCCTTTGGACACAGTGGAGCACAGATCCTGTTATGAGCAGGGTTGGGGGTGGAGAAGATAAGAAAAGGGTAAGTATGGAGGGAGTAAGAATTATACAATTAATTCACCAAAATATTTCCAACCACGTCCTGTTCTTGTGCTCTGTTTCCTCAGTGCTCAAATCACCCTGACCTGTAAGGTGCCCTCTCACAATGAGACATGCCCTCTCACAATGAGACATCAGGGCACATTTCCTAGGAAGTAAGTTACCTTGGCGTGTGATTTCATACAAGGTGGCCTTAGATGTCAATCTCTATGAATTAGGCTCCAAGCAGGGTGGTAAAAAGTAAGGAAATCCCATTTTAAATAACCTGTCTTTACTCCTGAGGTCTGTGAATTAATCTACTAATTTAATTTCTTTGAAGCTTTCATTTCGGGTGGATGCACAGGCATTTAATAGTAAAATAATTGGACAAGAGTAGATGGTTTAAGTGCAGAGCTAATGGGGTTTAAACACTTCTTCTACCTCCTTGTCTTGCCTGACTAGCTACCATTCCTGGTTCAGGATAGGACTTATTTATGAATAGGCAAGTTATAGCATCATCTGTTTGTGCGATCTAAGGGATTCAAAAGTTTCACCCCAAAGAACAAAGATTTGTCTCTATCAATCTGCATTGCTGTCTGAAATTCTACTCATTAAACATTTATTTCCTTGTAATAACCAATGTCTCTTGGATAGCTCAGGTGTCCTCTTAAAGATGCAATTATTAACCTTGGGAAAGAGCATACTGTTATGGGATGTGATTTTATCTGATTACTTTTCATTTGAAAGGAGCAGCTAATACCCTGACTCCACTGACGCCTTGGGGAATATACATAATGATTACTGGGAAAAGGAGGTATAACTAATATGTCCCCAGTCTTGATGTGCCTGAGGCAATCAAATAAGGCCACCTTTTAAAAAGTATCTATAATTCAAAGGCACAGAATCTTCATCTCTTAGATTCCAGGAATTCCTTTTTTTTTTTCTTTCAGCCTTAATCCCAGAGGGAGGGTGACTTGAGTTAGAGCCCTCCTGCTGACTCACAGTGAAAATGTAGCGTGAGTCAATAAGGACCCTTGTGGCCTTAAGCCATGGAAAGTTTTGGATTTATTTGTTGCTGAGACATACTCTAACCTATTCCTTTTTTTTTTTTTTTTTTTTCCTGAGTTTACCTCCCCAAAGTAATCCCTGGAAATCACTGAGGAATGTTTACATGGTCCCCAGATTCTCTCTGGCTGTTGCTTGTCCCCTCTGCTGTACTCTGAGCTGCTGCTGCATTGGGACTCAGAAGTTACCTCTTGACTTCTTGTAGGTTCTGATGTTCTGCTTCTGTGGCTTGCTCTCCTCCTCTTTCTCCTCTTCCTTCTCCTTCTTTTTATTCTTCTTCACCACTTTCCTCCTTGCCCCTTTGGCAACTCTCCAAGGTACAGCTAAAAATAAGCTGAAGGTTTAAAAATATTTATTGACGACTGAGGACAACAGTAAGGAATTACTGTCCAAAAGAGAACACTTTAAGCTGTATGTGGGTTATTGCTTCTACACACACCCCTCCACACGAGTGACCCCCTAATGACTGTCTCTCTCCTTAGCTCCTCACAACGTTGAAGTAGCAGTTCAAATTCCACCAAGATAGGGGCCATTCACCATGTTCCACCATTGCTAGACTCCACCATCAACACAAAATCATCTCCAGACAGCTGACTCTGCTCTTCTTTAAGAGACTCTGCCAAATTATTAGGCATAAGTGCTCAGCATCTCATCTCTTGGATGAAATGGACAAATTCATAGAAAGATATAAATGAACCAATCTGACCCAAGGAGAAACAGAAAATCTGAATAGACCTATAATGAGCAAAAATAAATAAACTAAATGAGCAATGGAAAAATTTTCAACAAAGAAAAACCTAGGCCCAAATGGCTATACTGGTGATTTCTATCAAATATTGAAAGAAGAAATAATGCCAATATTAAACAAACTCTTTTAGGAAATAGAAGAGGCTGGACCAGTTCCCAATTCATTTTACTAGGTCAGTATTAGCCTGATACTAAAGCCAGATAAAGGCACTACAAGAAAAGAAAACTAGGCTCATGAACACAGATACAAAAATCTTTAATAAAATGCTAACAAAATAAACAAAAACCCAGGAAAATATAAAAAGAATTATACACCATAAACAAGTGAGGTGTATCTGAGAATACAAGGTTGGTTTAACATTCAAAATCAATTAATGTAACACTATATTAACAGAAGAAATGGAAAAAAAATCATCCCAATGAAGCAGAAGAAGCATTTGACAAATTCCAATACTTATTTATGATTAAAAACTTTTAACACACTAGGAATAGAAGGAAACCTCCTCAATTTGATAAAGGGCTTCTATGAAAACCCTACAGCTAACATCATACTTAATGTGAAAGACTGAATTCCTTTCCTCTAAGATCAGGAATGAGACGAAGATATCTACTCCAACCACTTGTGATAGTTAATTGTATATGTCAACATATGTACATACACACACACACACACACACACACACATTCTGTTTCTCTGGAGAACCTTGGCTAATACATCACTTCTATTCAACATTGTACTAGAGGTTCTAGCCAGTGCAACAAGGCAAGAAAAATAATGTAAGAGCATATATATTGGAATGTAAAAGTATACAGATTGGAAAAAAAAGAAGTACAATTGTATGTAGTTACAGATGACACAATGTTATGCGTAGAAAATCCCAATGAACCTATAAAATCTATCAGAACTAATAAGTGAGTTTAGCAGTGCCACAGGATAAAAAAATCAGCGTACAAAAATCAATTGTGTGTTATACTTCAATAAAGATGTTAAAAAACAAAACAAAACACAATTGTATTTCTACATACGAGCAACCAACAACCTGGAAATGCAATTAAGAAAACAAATATAGTCATAATAGCATCAAAAAGAATAAAATACTTAGGAATAAATTTAACAAAAGAAATGCAATATCTATACAATGAAAACAACATAACATTGCTGAAAAAATGTAAAAGATCTAAAATTTAAAAGATCAATATAAATGAAAAGATACAGCATGTTCATGGAATATAAGACTTCATATCACTAAAATTGCAATTCTCCCCAAACTGATCTATAAATTCAAAACAACCCCAATCAAAATCCCAGTTACTGTTTTTTTTTCTGAAAAATTGACAAGCTAATCTTAAAATGTATATAGAAATGCAAAGGACCTAGACTAATCAAAATATTTTTTTAAAAAATTTCAAACTTACTGTAAAGCTACAGTAATCAAAACAGCATGGCAGGGCTTCCCTCGTGGCACAGTGATTAAGAGTCCACCTGCCAATGCAGGGGACATGGGTTTGAGCCCTGGTCTGGGAAGATCCCACATGCCGCGGAGCAACTAAGCCTGTGTGCCACGACTACTGAGCCTGCGCTCTAGAGCCCAAGAGCCACAACTACTGAAGCCCACACACCTAGACCCCACGGTCTGCAATAAGAGAAGCCACCGCAATGAGAAGCCCATGCACTGCAACAAAGAGTAGCCCCCACTCGCTACAACTAGAGAAATCCTGTGTGCAGTAACAAAGACCCAACTCAGCCAAAAATAAATAAATAAATAAATTTATTTTTTTAAAAAAACAGCATGGCATAGGCATAAGGATAGACATATAGATTAAAGACACAAAATAGAGAGTTCAGAAATAATCCCACGCACCAACCTTCAAGATGTTGGAGGAGTAAGTCATGGAGCTCACTTTCCTCCCCACAAATACATCAAAAATACATCTAGGGCTTCCCTGGTGGCGCAGTGGTTGAGAGTCCACCTGCCTATGCAGGGGACACGGGTTTGTGCCCCAGTCCGGGAAGATCCCACATGCCGCGGAGCGGCTAGGCCTGTGAGCCATGGCCGCCGGGCCTGCGCATCTGGAGCCTGTGCTCCGCAATGGGAGAGGCCACAACAGTGAGAGGCCTGCGTACAAAAAAAAAAAAAAAAAAAACATCTACCTGTGGAACAACTCCTACAGAACACCTACTGAACTCTGGAAGAAGACCTCAGACTTCCCAAAAGGCAGGAAACTCCCCACGCACCTGCGTAGGGCAAAAGAAAAAAGACAAAACAGAGACAAAAGAATCATTCAGCTTTTTCTTTTCCTCTACAGCTGACCATAATAATAAACAAGTAAATTTCCTGTTAAAAAAAAAAAAAAGAATAGGGACGGGACCTGCACCTTGGGGAGGGAGATGTGAAGGAGAAAAAGTTTCCACACACTAGGAAACCCCTTCACTAGTGGAGACGGGGGGGTGGGGGTGGGCGGGGGGGAAAGCTTCAGAGCCACGGAGGAGAGCGCAGCAACAGGGGTGCAGAGGGCAAAGAGGAGAGATTCCTGCACAGAGGATCGGTGCCGACCAGCACTCACCAGCCCAAGAGGCTTGTCTGCTCACGTGCCAGGACGGGTCGGGGCTGGGAGCTGAGGCTCTGGCTTCAGAGGTCAGACCCCAGGGAGAGGGCTGGGGTTGACTGCGTGAACAAAGCCTGAAAGGGGTTAGTGCACCACAGCTAGCAGGGAGGGAGTCCGGGAAAAGGTCTGGAACTGCCCAAGAGGCAAGACACCATTGGTTGTGGGCGCGCAAGGAGACGGGATTCAGAGCACCACCTAAATGAGCTCCAGAGATGGGCGCAAGCCGTGGCTATCAGCGTGGACCTCAGAGACGGGCATGAAAACGCTAAGGCTGCTGCTGCAGGCACCAAGAAGCCTGTGTGCAAGCACAGGTCACTCTCCACACCTCCCCTCCCGGGAGCCTGTGCAGCCCACCACTGCCAGGGTCCCGTGATCCAGGGACAACTTCCCCAGGATAATACATAGCGTGCCTCAGGCTGTTGCAACCTCATGCTGGCCTCGGCCACCGCAGGCTTTCCCTGCATTCTGCACCACTCTCCCTGTCCTCCGCCCCCCACCCCATCCCCCGGCCTGAGTGAGCCAGAGGCCCTAATCAGCTGCTACCTTAACCCCGTCCTGTCTGGGCGAAGAACAGACGCCCTCAGGCGACCTACATGCAGAGGCGGGGCCAAACCCAAAACTGAACCCCGGGAGCTGTGCGAACAAAGAAGAGAAAGGGAAATAAAAACAAAAATAAACAAATGGGACCTAATGAAACTTAAACGCTTTTGCACAGCAAAGCAAACCATAAATAAGACGAAAAGACAACCCTCAGAATGGAAGAAAATATTTGCAAATGAAGCAACTAACAAAGGATTAATCTACAATATATACAAGCAGTTCATGCAGCTCAATATCAAAAAACAAACAACCCAATCCAAAAATGGTCAGAAGACCTAAATAGACATTTCTCCAAAGAAGACATACAGATTGCCAACAAACACATGAAAGGATGCTCAACAACACTAATCATTAGAGAAATGCAAATCAAAACTACAATGAGGTATCACTTCACACTGGTCAGAATGGCCATCTTCAAAAAATCTACAAACAATAAATGCTGGAGAGGGTGTGGAGAAAAGGGAACCCTCTTGCACTGTTGGTGGGAATGTAAATTGATGCAGCCACTATGGAGAACAGTATGGAGGTTCCTTAGAAAACTAAAAATAGAACTACCATATGACCCAGCAATCCCACTACTGGGCATATACCCTGAGAAAACCATAATTCAAAAAGAGTCATGTACCAAAATTTTCATTGCAGCTCTATTTACAACAGCCAGGACATGGAAGCAACCTAAGTGTCCATCAACAGATGAATGGATAAAGAAGATGTGGGACATATATACAATGGAATATTACTCAGCCATAAAAAGAAACAAAACTGAGCTATTTGTAATGAGGTGGATAGACCTAGAGTCTGTCATACAGAGTGAAGTAAGTCAGAAAGAGGAAGACAAATACCGTATGCTAACACATATATATGGAGTCTAAAAAAGCCCCCAAAAACAGTGGTTCTGAAGAACCTAGGGGCAGGGTAGGAATAAAGACGCAGGCATAGAGAATGGAGTTAAGGACACAGGGAAGGGGAAGGGTAAGCTGGGACGAAGTGAGAGTGGCATGGACATATATACACTACCAAATGTAAAATAGATAGCTAGTGGGATGCAGCCACAGAGCACAGGGAGATCAGCTCGGTGCTTTGTGTCCACCTAGAGGGGTGGGATAGGGAGGGTAGGAGAGAGATGCAAGAGGGAGGAGATATGGGGATATATGTATACGTTTAGCTGATTCACTTTGTTTTAAAGCAGAAACTAACACACAATTGTAAAGCAATTATACTCCAAAAAAGATGTTAAAAATAAAAGTTATTATAAGGAAAAATTTCCAATGACCCCAGATTCTTGCATCTTCCCAAACATAGAAAAGCACAAATATCATAACTTGAGATGCCTGTTCTTTGTGATTACCAGTAATCTCTTGATGCTTGACTATGTGATTT